ATTACCGTCAGTTGATTTCTCTGGAAAAGGATCATAAACAGCCTCAGACGTGATGAATGTCCCACACAACAAGACGGCTATGGCTGCTAATGATTTAACCTGTAAGATAATCGCGAATCGCATGATTTTATTTTGGTTAATAATAGCGTTGTTAGCTCCAAGCACAGAAAATTCAATATTAAACTATTAAAACGAATTTTTACTGTAGGAACTTGAAAAACGAACAGGGCAGCTGTTGAAACTAGAATGTATGGCAAAGTTAACAGGAATCAACTTTAGCAATTATATATTCTTTTACGACATTGGTGTTTTTGAAAATCATCACTAAAAATGTTTGCACTTTTATGAAAAACATCCATGTTTATTTTATAACGTGTGGTATTCAATCCGAAATATGACCTAAAAAAACAACTATAATAATCAAATATTTTACTTTACATAGTGATGTTTTTATTTGCAATATAATTCCACTATATTCCTTATTGACGAACAAATTCTAGTAATCTTAACCTCGAGAAGTATTCGTCTGGGTAATATACGTGTTTATTTGACCTAATTATATTGTATGTTTAGGTGAAAAAATTATTTTCCAGCATTTAGTTCTTAATATCAAAACCTAATCAAAAGCACCGGTTATAAAATGTAATATTCGATTATTTATCGTGATTATTAGATCCACATGAACTATTTTTGGTCTCGTACAGTTTAATAGGAAATAATATACATATTTTTTTCGTATCGCTTTAGTACAATATTAATGAATGTGAACAACTATTCAAGTCAAGGCCTTTGCTGCAGCTTTTGGAAAATTGTCAGTTTCGAATAACTGTTTTCGCGTTAACCACACGATGGAAGTATTCTATACTTGTCATTACCAAATTGATTAATAATATCGTTGTTAGCTCCAAGCACAGCAAATTAATATAAAACTTTTAAAACGTATATTTATTGCATTAACTAAAAAAAACCAATTCGGTGTCCGTTCAAACTAGAATGTATGATAAAGTCGACAGAAAAACAACGTTAGCAACAACATGTTGTTTTAGGACATTGTGTTATTAAAAATTAAACACTAAAAACACTTGCACGTTTTCGAAAAACAACCGTTTTTATCTTATAACGTGTGGTATTCAATCCGCAATATGACCTAACAAACAACCATAATAATCAAATATTTTACCTTACGTAGTTTTTTTCCAACGGTTGTTTTTATACGAAACAATAGGTATAATGTTTTTACTTGCAATATAATTCCAATATATTCCTTATTGACGAAAAAATTCTAGTCATCTTAAACTTAAGAAGTATTCGTCTGGTAATAGACTTGTTCATTTGACTTAAAAATATTGTACAACAATTATTATACAGCATTTAGTTCTTAATATCAAAACCTAATCAAAAGCACCGGTTATAAAATGTAATATTCGATTATATATCGTGATTATTAGATCCACATGAACTAATTTTGGTCTCGTACAGTTTAATAGGAAATAATATACATATTTTTTTTCATATTGCTTTAGTACAATATTAATGAATGTGAACAACTATTCAAGTCAAGGCCTTTGCTGCAGCTTTTGGAAAATTATCAGTTTCGAATAACTGTTTTCGCGTTAACCACACGATGGAATTAGCGATTTGCAAGCTTAACGTTCAAATGTGCTCTGGTTATCGATGAACAGTTGGCCTGTAACATATGCAGGTGAACCGACTGGGTGTAACGCACGTTCACATGGGCGTTTGCTGTATAATTCACACGGTTTTCCGCCGAGACAGATAATGGTTTTGCCTAATTGTATTAATGCAAAGAATTTTCGAACACCACGCATTGTGCCAGTATTTGGCCGAAACCGAGTAATCGCCTTCTAAACGGTAAATCATTTTATAGTATACTCTCATCGGCTCATTTAAAAAGTCTAATACACTTAAGATTTTGATTGTTTCATAGCTGTTCGTAAATCATCGCTTGTACTGGAGCTTGATCTAAGATATTCTATCCTATCAAAACCCCCAAGCATCTTAACAGGACTTATCCAATGACCATTTAATTTAAGCCTAATTCACACTTGATGTAAAATATCTTACGACTAATATCTAAACCTAACACAACCTGACCTAAAATAAAACTGATAAAATTATGGTGATTTAAATCGTAGACGGCATTGAAAAAGTTTTCGACGTTAAAACTATATACAAAATAAAACAATATGACAATTGGAAAGTCTGATTTTAGTTTGTCGATCAAAAGTATGAAAACAAGAAAAACATATTATTCAGTTCACATAACGAGATATATTGTGTTTGTATAAAGTTTTGTGATTGATTTTGGCGGTTGCGCGGCCTTTCACGTTTGTCGATGGAAAAGTCATATTTTAAGATTGTTTCAGAAAACTAGTGGCTGGTAAAAGTCGAGAAAAACACTGTGGAGTTGTTTTAGCTGACCCAAAACTTTTCGGTTCCCATTAACTTTAACTTGGCTCACTTCGAGAGTACAATTTTTTTTTTTAGCATACTACGGTGAACGCTAGAAGGTCTTTTTCGTTTCGGTTATCAACTGCTAGTTATTTAATTATAGTTAAATTTTTTTTTTCACATTGCATTGCAACCAACGACAAACGTGTACGCACTAAAAACACATGTTGTGTCGGTTTAAAAAAAAATACAGTTTTCCAATACGGTTATTGCAAATCATTATTGTTATTATGAATTTCCCGTTTAACCTCTTTACCCTGTGTTCAAATGAGCAAGTTTAATGCATATTTTATCATAATGCCGGCAAAACGTTAAACAATTAACCGCGCAAGCATTAATAATAACTCCAATATTATTATTATCACCGATCATCAAACCAACGCCGGAATAGTAAAACACGGAAAATTACATATTTATTCAATTGAAATAATTACAAAAATAATATGTCACCGACGCGCCGTTTTTAACTACCTTTTCAATCAATTATACCATATGATATTGTTTAATTCAAGAATTAAAATTTTTCTTTACCAATTAAAAAAAAAATACAAACCACCTGCACTAGTACCGGGTGAGCCTGTAGTTGGACTTACCTAAAACGAGTTTAAGAAACAACAAAATATATCAATTGGCTTATGAAGTTTATTGTAGATTGTTCAATTTAAGTGCGTACACCGAAGTGATAATGAAAAGTACTTTTAAAGTAAAAAAATATAACATAACAGTGACGGTTATACACTGGCAATAGTTATAAATACAAATCATTTCTTAATTTTTCAATTCGATAATAGTCTGGATGATTTGGAAGATGACTCCTTCGAAAAAGCGTCCAATATGCCACAAGAACGATTTTGCTCTACCGACAATGTTCTCCTCTCTTTACTGTCGCAGAGTAGATATCTCCGCCGACATGACGTCCAACTCTATCGGTTCAGTAGCAGACACGTTTAACGGCGCTGACAAACATTGCAGTTTCAATTGTAAATGGTTTCTGAGGGTTTCGTTAGCCAAGCTATCGTACACGTCCACTGCGTTTCTCCGGAAACTCGACAGCAAATAAATAAAAAATTTGTCTCTTTTTAAATCCAGTAGCTCCACGAATCCAGTCAATATTTCGAATCATTGTTGAACATATTCGTCAGTATGTAAATCAAACTTGTTCAAACATTCGAGGTGAAACCAAGTGAACCGGAACATAAAGACTTTCAGAAAATCAACCGACAGGGTCAGATAAACGATCAGCATTTCTAAGCTGTCGTTGTCCAAGTCCAAACGTTCAGCGTCGTTCTTGCTTGTAAAGATTTCTTGGGACGTGTCTTTCCAGTTGACCTGTACGTCATAGTTGGATGTAATGAAGTTCAAGTTTTGGCGAGATCCAAAATTGTTGATAAAGACAAAGCCAAGTGACATATCGTTGTAACTATACTACGACAGGTTCTCTCATTTCAAATAACGCAGACACTCTCGATAGATACATATGAGTATATTCTGTAATTGATTCAATGTCGCTGAGCCACGACGTTAAGTTGACATGTTGGTTATCGCGGCAAAATAAGAACTCCGTTTTCATACGTTGATAAATTTGTTCGTGCAATTTGACTGCCATGTCTGGACTAACGTATCCGGGATAGGGAAATATCAAATTGATGTACAAATAAAATGATATCAACGCTTTCGACTTCAAAGCTCCAAATTCGTATAAAGTGCTTAACTGAAACATCAAAAACGTCAAACAATAAAGCACAGCTATTGAATTATCATTTTGACATGGATATGTCTTATGGCTGGGGGTCATTCTGAAAATTTATCCGTCACGTTTTGTGTCACAGTGCTGGAGAGATTATGAAGGAGTATTAAGGAATTATGTAGAAGAATGAAGATTGTAGAGTTGAATAAATAGATATAGTGGATTAGAGATAATAGATTAACTATATGGCGTTTTGTTACTTAAAAATCAAATATAAATCGTATTTACATGCACAGTCTAAAGACTTACAAATTGTAGTCCAACAAACCAGATATTTAAAACGTCTAACGGCATAAAACAAAAAAAATATATGAACGGATTAAATTTAGTAAAATTGCTGTAAGCCGCTCGTGAAAATAAGAACAGTTTTATGACATTAAATTTAAATATAAATAATATTACTCGATTTCTGCGAAGTAATCGAATATCTTTGCATTGTTTTAAAGACATATTTATGATTAACAGAATACATTGCATACAATACCTATAAAAGGTATTTCACTAATTAAAACAGTTCCAAGGGAAGGCACTTCATGTAATATTTCAAGAGATATAGATTTGCTACATGAAAAATCAGCTTGACTATTTGAGAGATATCGTTGATATAAACACAAAAATAAAAAATATTTAAAAAAGACAATATTATTAAAACAAAATAAATGAATTTATTCGGGTTATTTTTTATAATTGGCAAATTTGACGACTTTAGTGCTTACGTTGAAATAAAAGTGCTTTTAAACATACAATTTTTAGAAGATTTGCGTACAAATCGCAATAGTTATTAAAAATCACTGTTATTTTTCAGTCCGATAATCGTTTGGATAATACGAAAATCTATGTCGAAATAGCCTTTTATGTGATTCACGAATGCTCGTGCTTTACCGATACTGTTTTCCTCTATTTCCTGTTTCAGGGTAGACACATCTTTCGACTTGACGTTCAACACAATCGGTTCACAGACAGACACATTGAATGTGGTCGACAAAATATTTTCGAGTTCCAATTGCACATGGCTCCTTATCGTTTCGTTCCCTTCGCTGTAGTACACGTACAATGAGTTCTCCTCAAGACTCCACAACAAATTATTGAAAAAATCGTCGTGTTTCAAGTACAGCAATTTTATGAAATCGGTCAATATAAAATACCATTCTTCGACGTAGTCATTTCCGTCCGTTCCTGTAATGATGGACCTGTCAGTTTGTGCCAGCAACCAACCGAACATTTTCAGGTACTCTAGGTGTATTAAAGTAAACCGTAAAATAAAGATTTTCAAGTAATCGATGCAAGTAATCTGATAATTTATTAGTAATTCCAAACTGTCTTTCTTCAAGTGCAAACGTTTAGCTTCTGTCAACCTTGATAAAATTGTATCGCCTATGGCTTCCCAGTTGAACTGAACGTCAACCGCCCATCCTAAATAGTAAATATCAAATCTCCGCCCAAATTCATTTAAAAAGAGACACTGGAACGACATTCTATGAAAAATTCCAAATCTGTTGCTTTTCCTGCCATTCTCGTTTTTGTACATCACCTTCTTAACATCAAACATATTTTTAGCGATACAAAGCCGTATTTCTTGAATATACATCGATTGACTTAGTTCGTTCCCAAATTCTAGTTTATTGTAGAATTCCGACGCAACACTATCTATGTTAAACTGATCGTAATTAGGGCAACGGACAAACTCTTCTCTTAATTGTTGGTGAACCTTTTTGTGTAATTCCATTGCCTTGTTTAGGGTTGCCTGCAGAGAACTCTGGTCCCAGCCAACAGAATAAGTATACGAATTCATTAATTTGATGTACAAATAAAACGACATCAGGGCTTTTGACTTCAGAGCTCCGAATTGGTATAATGAGCCCAACTGAAACACAAAAACAACACTTGCGGTTACATGATGTTAAAAGTTAGGCGTAGTAGCTGTATCGACAAATTGTTATTGTTTATTGTATCGGGTGAATTTTTTTGGTATAGGAAAAAAAATTTTAAAGTGAATAAATTATGTGGTATTGAAATCAATTAGGTATTTTCTGGAGCATTATTAACATTATTTGAAACTCAAAAGGTACCATATGATGTTGTCAATTGAATTTAGGATGAGGCGTGGATATTAAATTATTTATTATTATTTATGTAATTGATATATTAATACGATTTATTTTATTACCATACTTTGGACGAACTCCCAAAATTTTGCAACTTCATGAACAGCGTCTACTGTGTCAACGAACGATTCGAAATAACACTCGTTAAGTTCCATGTGTCTCAAGCTACAATGCAAGTACGTGCAAATCAACTCTTTATGCTTCTTCTTACGGGCCAATCGGACAAAGTCCTCGGTGATTTCTGCAGGAGTTTCTTGTATATTCGGGTATCCGGTTTGGATGTTTATTAGAGCATGATACGCTTCGGCATCGTTGACCTCTAACGAACGATTATCATAATTTTCAGTCTCTAAAAAAACACCATAAGCCGCCTCAGACGTGATGAATGTTCCATATAACAAGATAGTTGTGGCAGCTAAAGGTGTAACCTGTAAGATAATCGCGAATTGCATGATTTTGTTTTGTTAAAATTGTCGTTTTCAGCTCCAAGCACAGCAAACTGAATATTAAAACTTATAAAAATGAATTTTTAATGCAGACACTAAAAAACGAATTTAATGGCAGTTCAAACTTGAATGTGTTGTAAAGTCGACCGGCAAACCGCTTTAGTAATAACAATTTGTTTTTGAAAACAAACAATAAAAACACTTGTACGTTTTCGAAAAACTCTAGTTTATATTTTATTACATTTGGTATTTAACAGAAAATATGACAAAAAAAGTATATTTATTGCATTAATTAAAAATAACCAATTCGGTGTCCGTTCAAACTAGAATGTATGATAAAGTCGACAGGAAAACAACGTTAGCAACAACATGTTGTTTTAGGACATTGTGTTATTAAAAATTAAACACTAAAAACACCTGCACGTTTTCGAAAAACAACCGTTTTTATTTTATAACGTGTGGTATTCAATCCGCAATATGACCTAACAAACAACCATAATAATCAAATATTTTACCTTTCGTAGTTTTTTTCCAACGGTTGTTATTATACGAAACAATAGGTATAATGTTTTTACTTGCAATATAATTCGGAATTCAATATATTCCTTATTGACGAAAAAATTTTAGTAATCTTAAACTTAAGAAGTATTCGTCTAGGTAATAGACTTGTTCATTTGACTTAAAAATATTGTATAACAATTATTATACAGCATTTAGTTCTTAATATCAAAACCTAATCAAAAGCACAGGTTATAAAATGTAATATTCGATTATATATCGTAATTATTAGATCCACATGAACTATTTTTGGTCTCGTACAGTTTAATAGGAAATAATATACATATTTTTTTTATATTGCATTAGTACAATATTAATGAATATGAACAACTATTCAAGTCAAAGCCTTTGCTGCGCTTTTGGAAAATTATCAGTTTCGAATAACTGTTTTCGCGTTAACCACACGATGGAATTAGCGATTTGCAAGCTTAACGTTCAAATGTGCTCTGGTTGTCGGTGAACAGTTGGCCTGTAATAAATGCAGGCGAACCGACTGGGTGTAACGCACGTTCACATGGGCGTTTGCTGTATAATTCACACGGTTTTGCGCCGAGACAGATAATGGTTTTAGCTAATTGTATTAATGCAAAGGATTTTCGAACGCCACGCATTGTGCCAGTATTTGGCCGAAACCGAGTAATCGCCTTCTAAACGCGAAATAATTTTATAGTATACTCTCATCGGTTCATTTATAAAGTCTAATACACTTAAGATTTTGATTGTTTCATAGCTGTTCGTAAATCATCGCTTGTACTGGAGCTTGATCTAAGATATTCTATCCTATCAAAACCCCCAAGCAATTTAACAGGACTTATCCAATGATCATTTAATTTAAGCCTAATTCTCACTTGATGTAAAATATCCTACGACTAATATATAAACCTAACACAACCTGACCTAAAATAAAACTGATCAAATTATGGTGATTTAAATCGTAGACGGTATTGAAAAAGTTTTCGACGTTAAAACTATATACAAAATAAAACAATATGACGATTGGAAAGTCTGATTTTAGTTTGTCGATCAAAAGTATGAAAACAAGAAAAACATATTATTCAGTTCACATAACGAGATATATTGTGTTTGTATAAAGTTTTGTGATTGATTTTAGCGGTTGCGCGGCCTTTCACCTTTGTCGATGGAAAAGTCATATTTTAAGATTGTTTCAGAAAACTAGTGGCTGGTAAAAGTCGGGAAAAACACTGTGGAGTTGTTTTAGCTGACCCAAAACTTTTCGGTTCCCATTAACTTTAACTTGGCTCACTTCGAGAGTACAATTTTTTTTTTAGCATACTACGGTGAACGCTAGAAGGTCTTTTTCGTTTCGGTTATCAACTGCTAGTTATTTCATTTTATAATTAAATTTTTTTTTTCACATTGCATTGCAACCAACGACAAACGTGTACGCACTAAAAACACATGTCGTGTCGGTTTAAAAAAAAAATACCGTTTTCCAATACGGTTATTGTAAATCATTATTGTTATTATGAATTTCCCGGTAAAGCTCTTTACCCTGTGTTCAAATGAGCAAGTTTAATGCATATTTTATCATAATGCCGGCAAAACGTTAAACAATAAACCACGCACGCATTAATAATAATTCCAATATTATTATTATATCACCGTTCGTCAAACCAACGCCGGAATAGTAAACACGGCAAATTACATATTTATTCAATTGAAATAATTACAATAATAATATGTCACCGACGTGCCGTTTTTAACTACCCTTTCAATCAATTATACCTTATGACATTGTTTTCCTGGTAAATAACGAATTTGTCCGTTAAACACAGTTCGCGTTCAAATGTTTTTTTTGTAAATTAACCTGTACATATTTTATTATCATTATGCAATTTATTGTTAAAAATAAAATAAAAACCCTTTAAGTTTTAGCCAAAATGCTAGCTCAGAGTATCTGGAACATAATTTTGTGATTAATTGGTTTTTCGTCTCTTACCAGTTGTTCAGAAATAACCATCGATTTTCTTTTATCACTTATCTCGTTTCAGCCGATTATCTTATCAATAATTCCTTATCAGTCATTTAAAGATTATTGACTCCCTTTCCCCTTAAAATATCATGTTAAAATCTGTAATATTAATTCGTTGATTATTTCGTAAATCAAGTGTACAATTACATACTTTTTTCATGTTTTTATTTTTATTTTGAGATAACAATAAAAAATGACGAAAAAGAGTGGTAATCTAATTGTATGGAAAAAACTGAATTTACAAAAATCTTTATTTACGCAGGACTGCTTGGCTAGAACATATTTCACTTGCTATCAACTTGTTAATGTGTAAAGTTATCAGTTAAAGCGATTAATCTATCATAGAAACAATTTGAATATTAAATATAAACAATTAAAGAGTAAAGAAGTCAATTTCAACCGACCGACCGAAATAGTGGTAATATAAACGAACAGTAATACTAACGGTAAATTGTTATTTCATGTAAAATCAACACGACTATCTTAGAATTTTCACGTTTTTTGTCATTAATATGCTTCCTATTGTATTGATGTTAATTGTTCAGGACGGCCGAAGTGAAACGATTTGCCCCATTGAGTAAAATAATTTAGAAAGATGCCTTTTTGTGTTGTTATCTTTGTGAGTACAATATTGTCCGGTCCGGTGATATTCGACCAAACCAACCGAGTCGTGGACCTTTGGTTATCCGTGCCCACTTCCGAATCCAACGGTGTGTATAACGTTATAAGTGTTAGTTTGTTTTTTAATATAAAAGTAAACAACTTGTTACACGCCGCCGTGACGAGCGGGCGTTTTTAAACAACGGCCGGGGTTATGTGTCATAACATAATAGTATTATTATTATTATTATTATAATACAGTGCGTGATAAATGATGACGATGATGGTACGGAAAACAAAAAAAAAAAAAAACAGTTTGGTCTGTTTCGTCTGAAGCGTTTCGGCGGGGCCTACCGGGGAAAACGTCTCGCCGGCAAAGGCGACACGATTTGGGGTTACCGCCGCGGCGAATGGTAACCAAGGCAGCCGGGGTATAATATATATAAATATAGGGTCACAGGTCAGGCCTCTCTATCTGTCTCTCTCTGACTACCAACGTTCACCAGCGTGTATAATATACCCTCTTCGGAAAAAAAAAAAACCTAACCCGTCATCGACTGCCCCGGCCGCCCAAATGAAGTGCGTCGCGCCGGCTCCGGTCCGGGTTAATACTCGCGGGACTCTCTCTCTCTCTATCCAAAAAAACTCACAGAGTACTGACAGGTTTATTTTCCGGGCTGTTACCGCAGCCCACCCCATTTGCCATTCCCTTTCCGCTAATACCCACCCGGCCGGCCAAAGGGGTGAGATTAACGCGGCCGGAACGATCGATACCGTGCGAATTTATTATATGTTACATACATACCTACAAAAAAAAAAAAAAACAAGCAAAACCGCCTAGTACGTGCGGTTGATACTGACGCGAAACGACCGGCACGCGATATCATTAGGGGGTCTTCTGCAAAAAAAAAAAACAAATCAAATCGGAAAACAAAAATATATATATATACACAAAAAAAAACTATACAGCCAAGCGTTTAACGACTTTATTGCCGTAGCTGTCGACGAAGAAAATATCGCCTTTTTGAAAATACATCGCAGATTAGAATACAAAACAAGCAGATATTATGGACAATTTTTAATGAAAGAAAAATATGCCGCTATTAGCAAAAAACCGGCACTGCAGAGCGCGTAGCTTTGTAGCAGAGCGTGGTCGCCGGTTTGAAGGGTATATTTTTTTAAAAACGCCTAAATGCCCCCAAGGCGGTGCGCCTAACCTGTCCCCTCTTTTATACTTAAGGGGGCTCCATACAGACCATTTTTTCAGTCAAAACACATCATTTTCATTCCATCGCACAGGCCTAAACAGTGATCCGATAAGCAATCTAAAAACAGATTTGAATTCGTCTGAAGTTCACTTAGGATCGGTCGAGGTACTTTTTTCAATTTTTAATTTTAACCCTTTCTAAATTTTATTTTAAAATGTTGAAATTTTATAAAATGTTCAAACGTGTTTTATACATAGTAGGTATAAGATATCAAAAAAGTCCGTCGACCGATCTCAAGTAAATTTCATGGCAAATTCAAATCTGTTTTTATATTACTTATCGGATTACTGGTTGAGCCTGTGCGATGGAACAAAAAATGTATGTTATATTGACTAAAATGGCTTTTACTCATAGACAAAATGATTTAAATTAAAAATAATACCTTGAAGCTTGTACAAGTTAACCGGTAAATTTATTGACATGGTCGAAATTTATTTAAGCCAATGTTTTCTTAAATATTACCTATACAAAACTCCTTAAAAAT